AATATACCTAAATCCTTCAAGTAATTTTACTTTTAAACTTTGTTCTATTCCAACGATTCAATTGAAATCTGCAACAAAGGGCGACCGATTTGTAATTATGTCGCTTCACTGAAAATGTTGGCAATGCTTCTATAAATTTAATACTTGGCTTTAATAAATGGCTTTAGAAGTTAATAACAATTATTCAAATATTGCGGCTAACGAAATATAAATTGATTTATATTCCGTGTTAAGAGTAATAATAATATATACCCGACCAAATTTTGGGCATGGTACCCAGTTTCATCGGGAACTAGACATCTTATTTTTATTAATGAATATATAAGACAGTGGTGTTACTTAATTCTAAACTCGCCAAAGTTTTAGGCTTGATGGCGAGAGGCGCACTTTTACATAACAATGAACCACCTTATGTACTCCTAAGATAAGATACAATAATACACAATTATATAACATAGTAATATAGAAACCTATGACATCTTGTTATGTAAAACTAAGCAGGTCAGGATTATAGCACATGAGTTTTTGCGCAAGCTGAGGTGCACTATCTATTCCCTTACACTCACACTACGCTAAGACAGCAATCCGACATGACCAAAGGGAGATCAATCCTGGGACCACATGATAGACGCCCTTACGACCACGAGGCAGTCAAATCAAGTGCATTGTGTAAAGATAAATAAAAATATATGTGCCACCAAGCAACAATATATCTGTATTTTGGTACGAAGAATATGTATATATTTATAGACTGTGAAGCATTTCGTCTCAACATTCAGAGGTCGAAGCAACTGTAGGGTTTTTTTTTCAAAGTTGATTGTATAAAAAGAACGAGTACAACGAACGAAATATTGTAGAAATGACTTCTTACGTATTCAATTCTGCTTTCCGTCGTCGGTCTTGGTATTTTAGGTCTGATATAAACGAGATGGTTAAATGGATGACAAAAGGCATAAGATTGTGATGGCATTTACCATAATAGCCATTACCCTAAGGACAAGATGGGGACAAGGAAAAATTTAAATCCGTTTACACATGAACTTTGACCTCTTGAATTAATTTTTTTTTTTTATTAGGAAACTCAACAGCATATTTTTAACAATCATACTTAAAATACATATTAATACACTTAGCCAATAACAGAGTTTCACAACATGCTGAATAACTCTTACAAAGCAGAGAGGTAAAATTGTAACTTAATACATTTTATCTAAATACATAATATTTTACACACGATTGCAGTATATGGTTCTATATTTTGTGATTTGTATACATTTATGTTTAGATTTAAATTTAAATTTAAGATGACAGCTTTTAATAAAATTAATAAAACAACAAAAATAAAATGATATTCACTAAATAAAATAAAATAGAATAAATAATATAAATACATAAAATAAATATGTTACATGTTATTTTGTATACCTTATAGTTCTATTATAACTAATATAACGACATGATTTCCAAATTGTTATTTTTACAGAATTGTTACTGCTTCTTAGACAGCTTCAGGATAAGTTTGTGTTTAAAGTTAGACTTAGAAAAATTGAAAATATCAACATTACTGTATTTACTATTATAAATTTTGGGTAGACGAGTCATGACAGCGTTCATACCGTATTTGGTACGATGTTTAGGTACATTGAAAAGTGGGGTCTTTCTAGTACGGTACTTAGGAGTGCAGAACTGGATACCTGCGAGAAGATTAGGACTGTAAATGTTACTGTGAAGGATATCATGCAAAAAACACATATCAAGTAATTCTCGTCTAGATTCCAGCGACAAGAGACCGTATTTAATACACTCCTCATTATAAGTTTCACAACGACGCATGCCGGTTTTGTAATTGAGGTGCTTTATGAAGAGTTTTTGTATTCTTTCCAATCTGTTTATATACAAAGCATACTGCGGCGACCATATGGAGCTACCATATTCTAGAATACTGCGACAATATGCGTAGTAGATAGATCTGAGACTGTTTATGTTTTTAAAAGGTTTACAAGTCCTCATAATGAACCCCAGATTGCGATATGATTTATTTACGATATAGTTGACATGCTCAGAAAACATCATTTTAGAATCAAGGAAAACTCCTAAGTCCTTTACTATCTCAGTCCGTTTTATGCCTTCATTTTTAAAGTGATACGGAAAAACAATTTTATTTTTCTTTCGGCTAAAATACAATATACTACAATATAACAGTAAATATAAGTAAATGTCAATGTATCAGACATTGACATTTACTTATATTTACTGTTATATTGTTTCGGACATAATATGAGTGTAAGTTATCCAAGTCACGTTGAATTAGTTCACAATCTTTAATCGAGTTAATTTTCATGAACACCTTTTTGTCATCAGCGTAAAGTAGATGATTTGAAAATTCAAAACATTGGTTAATATCATATATATATGCAGAATAGAAAAGTGGACCAAGGTGTGATCCCTGAGGAACACCTGATGGAATTTGTATGAAATCAGACTTGAAACCACCAATGACAACAGCTTGAGAACGATTAGAGAGATAAGAGGTAGTCCATCTTAGTAAGTCACCATGAATTCCAAGCCTGTACAATTTGTCTAAGAGGATGCTGTGATCCACACGGTCGAAAGCTTTTTCAAAATCCGTGTAGATCACATCAACCTGTCCACAGTCTTCCATCCCACAAATAACATAGTCACAAAATTCTGCCAAGTTAGAGATGGTAGACTTTCGTTTTAAAAAGCCATGCTGATGATGTGAAATGCCTTTTACAATTACAGGGTAAATGTTATTATAAACAACTTTTTCCATCATTTTACTGATTGTGCTCAAAATAGAAATGGGACGGTAGTTACTTATTTCCACTTTTGAACCCTTCTTATGAATCGGTATAATAAATGCTTTTTTCCACAATGTAGGAAAGACGCATTGGTTTATCGATGTCTTAAATAATAAATATATAGGATATGCCAATGACTCAGCACAGTTGCGTAAAAATACGGGTGCTACTCCATCACACCCAGGGCCTTTAGAAACATCTAGCGTCTTAAGCATATTAAAAACGTCATCCTTTGTTACGGTTAGACCAGATATTGTGTCAAAGGTGCAACATTCACCGTCACCGTTTACAGATCTAGCATACTGAGGGCAAGAACCAGAAAACATACTCTTAAAGTAACTATTAAATTCAGTACATATAGCATTGCCATCAGTAATGGACTTACCCTGGTAACTTAATTGCTTGGGGAATCGAGAACCACCACGCTTCGATTTAACGTATGACCAAAAAGCCTTGGGAGTGAGATGAATCCTATCCTCCATGCAGTTGATATACTTATTAAAACATTGTTGCTGAAGTAATTTTTCACGAGAACGTAGCAAAGCAAACTCATCGTAATCACGAGGATTCCTAAAGCGTTTCCATTTGTTATGTATCTTGCTCTTTTCACGTATGACTTTTATTAAAGCAGAGTTATACCAAATGGGATAATATTCTTTAGTGCTAGTTTTATTTTTTATAGGTACAAATTGATCAAAACATTCTTCTATTTTACTGTAAAATAATGTCGTAGCCTCGTCCATCGATTTATTCTGCAGCGTACCATCCCAATCAGTTTGTATAAAGAAGTTATTAATTGCAACATAATCACATTTGTAAAAATCACGTCGCGGTGTGACGACTTCTTTGAAAGGGGTCACAAATAGATCAGTGATGTCAATATACAAAGAAGGGTGATGTTTGTCCTCTGTCAAAAGAGGGGAAGAACATCTTAGAACTTCTGTGTTTAGATTGCAGAATACTAAGTCCAGTGTACGTCTGTTACCATTTAAAATACTATTAAATTGATTTAAGCCCAAGAAAATCATACCCTCCACAAGCGATAGTGCTGCATCCTGAATTTCCATACTCATGTTATGAAGTAATTCGTGATGACCATCCTGCCATTTAAAGCACCGAAGATTAAAGTCACCCACCAATAGGCATGTGTCTCCTGGGTACCGCTCAGTTAATGATGTGACAAAGTTGTTTACTTCGTTTAGTTGCGATGGTATATTATATGAATCAGGAGGAATATATACCAAAATAATATTTAGGTTACATTTAGTTCCCAATTCACCTGCAGGCAACGTTATACAGAGTAACTCAGTATTAAGGTTAGAACTAAAACCATGCATTTGTCTAGCTCCGTATTCACTCCTTATGCAAGCCATTATACCACCACCAGTTTTTTTCTGTGTTTGAGGTAAGTTACGGTCTAAACGCATGACGTCATAACGATTATCACATAATTCAGAACTTAGAATGTCATTCTGAAGCCACGTCTCAGTAAATAATAGGATATCATAGCTATTGCTCGCAATTTGTTTATAAAGATCTACACATTTCGTTCTAAGTCCACGCACATTTTGATAATACACAGATATTCTTTTGTCTTTCCTAACTTCTGTAGATATATATAATAAGAGAAACTTCGATTGACATTAATATTATATTGTATATATAAGGATCACCACAATAGAGAGCCAGCATCGTAAAATTATTTTCTCTATTAAATTGTTGTATAAAGAGTTGATTTATTAGTAAATAACACATCCAGGTTAGGTAAAAAAAATAAATTAGTTTCAGTATAATTTTGGTTATATTAAAGATTATAATATTATGACAATACAAAATAATTATCGTGCACAACCCTTGCTGAATAATAAAAGAAAAATACTTACAAATGCGTGCAAAATTGTATTTTTGTAATTTATCGTGTTAAACTACATGTGAGCTGCCAACAGTCCAAAACCTTTGAATGTTATTATTAATATATAAGAACATCATATAGTCTGCAATTTTAAATAAAACAATACACTCTAACAAACACAACAATACATAATTATGATATGATTTTGTTGTGTTTTTACATACCATGTTAAAAAAGAAGAAAAAACAGTACCGATACATCATTTTAACGAAAGTACATATACAAGTAGATGGATGAAGAATTATGCTGATAACAATAAAACATAGTCATTTAAGCTTATCAAGTGTTTCAGTGTTACGAATAAAAATTGCTTCGCTTGTATCCGACTTCCTCATGTAAATGCGACCAGCACGAATCCAGGTGTATTTGTATTTGAGCTCTTTCCCACGTTTACGAGCTGCTGCATGCAGCTGCTTATTTTCGGAGGAGAGGTTCTCAATAACAAAGACAGGTTTCTTTTGTTCTGTGTCGAAGCCAAGGTCATGAGTGTTGAGCTTGTTCTCCTTGTTTACTTTGTTATGCCTGTTGACTGCAGAAAGCACCGAATCTCGAATTCGTGGTGAACTAAACTTCGCTATAATTGTACGTGGTCTAGGGCTGGCCGGGTTAAGCTTAGCGACGCGTGAACAGTACAGAATATCATGGTCACTCATTGTATGGTTAATGGCGCATCCTAGCTGTTTTAATATGCCTACAACATTCTCCGTTTTTCTTTCGGGCACGCACTGTATCTCCAGGGAAGATGCACGGGAAAGTTGATCGAATTGGTTCAATTTATTATTGAGGGTGTTAATCTCGTAACGCAAAGAATCGTTTTCTTTTTTTAATACCAATATTTCTTGTTGTTGAATTTTAAATTCGTCTGAAATCTTATCGAACTTGTCACTCATAAATTCAATAGAACATTTAAGATTACTTATTTGTCCATTAATTGTGCTAATGCCAACTGTAAACTCCGTGGTGCAAGACTTTAACCCCGTTGCTATTTCTTCGCGAAGTATTTCTCGCAGTTCTGAACGACGCACATAATCACTTGTATTATCTACATTGATATTAGTATCAAGTTTTGCAGGCGCCCTGCGTCGGGACACGTTATTAAACGAAATTTCGGCAAACGATGTAGGTGTTGAGGGGCGAGCTACCGATTCGGAGTTGTTACCTTTCGGTTGCTTAATCATACACATGGGGCAAATCCAATTAAATAATGCGTCTGGAAGCAAGCCCGCAATATTCTCTGGGCGTATGTTAAGGCATAAATAGTGAAATATTTCGTTACATTTTGCGCATTGCAAATAATCTTCTTTTCCGACTTCGCGGGTACACGCTGAACAATTCCTCATAATAACGAGACACTATAGGTTAAAATTAGATAAAGACGTCAATTAGACGTTTAGATTCATTATAACTTGTTCAGTTATAAAAATAATTCTTTAAATCATTTAAATAAACTGAATAAATTAATTTGGCATAATTATTGGTTGGATGATTGGTCAAAATAATTTATTAGGTGATAAAAATTTATGAAGTCTCCACAGGTCTCCGACGTAGTAGAAAAAAAAACGAAGTAAAATAAAAGTAACTAATAAGCGCTTGTGGAACTCCTTACCTCTCCACATCCGTCGTGCTAATAAATCTCTTCATAATTTCAATAGCCTTGTTAAAAGGTATTGCTGACAACACTATTATATAGTTTAATTACTTTACCTTTTTTACCTTTTTCATTTCAATATTTTGACCGATATTACTCGTATTTGGACACCAGTATAGATATATTTATTTATTGGTCTATATATATATATATATATATATATATATATATATATATATTTATTTATTTATATTTACATCTTTTATTTTAACCATTGTTTGCATTAGTCCTCTACATGAAGGTTGTCTGTAAGGGATCACTTTCAGAGTAATAAGACCCACCAAGTTTTACATATATTATGTACCTACAACTTAAAGTATATACTTTAAGTTGTAGGGACTCTCCTTGTTTTCTATATGTGGGTGTACAATAAAGAATAAATAAAATAAACTAAAAAGTAAACATATCGTCCATATGTTTACTTTTTAGTTTCAATTCTACTTCCACTAATTTCTGAAAGGGTTGTAGAGAAATTTGTCGACCGCACTGCTCCAGTGCATGTTGGCGAACTTCACGCTCTGCAATATGAAATATTTTATTTCTAAGACATAAAATTTAGTTACAAGTTACATTCACCGCCGAGCACGTGGTAAATAAGCACTTAAAATCGCAATAAACTACTTAATTGGTGCCAGCAAAATAACGAACCCACGATGTTTCACGAAGACTCTTCTTAAACCATTGTTTAAATATTATATGTGATAGAGTCATATTATGGTTAAGCTCGACTGGGTGACTGGACCACACTTTCACAGAATACCAGCGTAAAATAGCAACTTAATGTTAATGCTGCTGTGTTTCGTATGTTAACTGAACTCGTGACTCTTTTTACAGGAAACGCGGCATTCCATTTTAGTCCTAAGGGGTGACAATGCATTTGCGTTTTGATTCTTAACCGAGGATAGATGTAGATGTTCGTGGGCCACAGCATCCGCTTAACATCAGGTAGACTCGTATGTCACCTTTATTACCCTACTGCCACAGAAGGAGGGAAGGTAATAACAAGAGTTTGTATGTATGTCTATTTCTTTCGCACGCTCTGTAGCCTAAACGACCTGATGGATTTTAACATAATTGAGGTGTCGTTTGATTAGTCACCTTAATCATGGGAGTGACATAATCTATATAATATTTATATATTGCATCATAACCAAAACCTGTAAAACCACTTTTTGTAGAAATAGCAATTAATCGATTAAAAAAATATTAATAAGTTCAACAATCATTTATCTTTGTGACAATGTGCTTTTTATATCATTTATATGTTCAATATGATTGTTAGATACGATTTTATGCAACAAAACTTTGGAATCTTGATTTTTAGGCGGACATACCTACGAGCTTTGCGCTTAAGGCATGCAATAATGGCACTTGTAACCAAAGGAAAAATATTTGGAGAGGTACGTTGTTTCATGTTCTCTACGGAATGGCAGAAACTAGATCTGCCTCACATACACATATTGTTGTGGATGGTTAACCGCATTTCGCCTGACATGGTGGGTGAATTTATATGTGCTAAGATACCAAATCCAAATGAAAAAACGGGAGGTGACGGTTCTTTCAGTAAACTTTTCCACGCCCACAAAAAAACCACACAAAAAAAGAGACAATAAACCAATTTTTTCATCAATAAACCAATTTTTGTAATAAGGCGCCTTTCTTCCTTGCTTCCCTTCCATGATCAATAGACAAGACGATCGGACAGATTTACTTTTTTTTGAATTACCGCGAACTAGTACAAAAAGATTTACTGTATTCATTTTCTTTGTGCACAACAAAGGATTGAACTTCTTTTCATCTTCGATTTTTCTTAAACGATATTGGGATATTTATCGTTAATAAATGTGCTTCTCTTAGGTTAGCAACCTGAACGTTGAAGGTTAAACTTTTGACTAATAAACATACTTAAAAAACTATTTATCCGAGCTAACTGGATATTTTATTCTTTATTGTTACACTTTGAAATAAGGTTACTATATAAGAAAAGAGTAAGGATTAATGTAGTAAAGCTACGCTGCAGCTATAATATTATAGTTGTAGGACGAATGGGTTGGCTTAACCGGTTAAGGACCACGCTCTCACAGAATACCAGCGTAAAGTAGCGCGTTAAAACTGGTGTGTTTCGTATGATGAATGTAAAGAACCAGAGACCCTTATTAGTCGAAATAATGCATTCTATCTTAGTCCTCAAGGGTGACATGCATCTGCATTTTGATTGTCATTGAAGATAGATCTAGATGTCGATGGCCACAACATTCACTTACCATCAGGTGGACTGTGTGGTTAAAAAAAAATCATCGAAGTCTCCTCATACGACGTCCAAAGGAAAAAATTAATACTCGTACGCCACTGTTATATAGCAATTCCATAAACATTTTTTATATAAAGGTACGTACATATTATAGCTGTAGCATGGCTCGACCATGTATGTCAGAAAAGCCTTATCGCTTCCAGTAAATGACGGTATAAAACCATCACGTTTACACCACATATAAAACCGCCAAACCGGCAGAGGGCAGCAGTGTCTGCGTGAAGTCTGGTACTGCAATCATCAATGTACCTGCCAATCATCGTCATCATCCTTGAAGCCCTTCACAAGTCCACTACTGAACGTAGGCCTCTCCAAAGGAATAGGCGTGCCACAAAGCACGGTCCTGAGCCACCTGCACCCATCAACTTCCTCATGTGTTACCAGGTCGTCACTCCATCTAGTGGCGGTACGCCCTACGCTTCGCCTGCCGATACAAGATTGCCGCTCGAGAACCTTTTGCCCCATCGGTTGTTGGTTCTTCAAGCAATATGGTCTGCCAAGTGAGTCAAGAAATACAAATCCTCGCCGTTAAGTCTAGTGCTATCTCTATCGCTTTAAGTCAAAGTGACTGTGATACCACGAGACTTACGACATCTTAAAATTGAGTAGTGTTTGAGTATTTGGGTATGTTTGGACATGTGTTAGTAATAGTGTTTTACATGGTAGAGCTATTCTGCAACTATATTAGTAGTATAGTTGTAGCACGAATGGGTTGGCTCGACCGGGGAAGGACCACGCTCCCACAGACTACCAGCGTAAAATAGCAGCTTAACACTGCTGTATTTCGTTTGGTGAATGTTGAGAACCGGTGACCCTTTTTATAGGAAGAGAGGCATTCCATCTTTGTCCTCACGGGTGACAATACATCTGCATTTTGATTCTTTATTAAGGATAGATGTAGATGTTACAGCAACCACTCACCATCAGGTGGACTGTGTGCTCGTTTGTCACCCTAACCTAAAAAAAGCACAGACCACTATCTGTATATCAAAAGTCTAAGTTTTGTTGTTTTGGGTTATTTCATGGAATACGCTGCTGCCCATATCTTGATTTGTTTCCCTCTGTCGCCTTTTACGACACCTACGGAATGTAAGAAGTAGTGAATATTCTGACACCGTGTACCGTGTAGTGGCGGTGTAAGAATATCCACTACCACATATCGCTCCGTGGGTGTCGTAAGAGGTGACAGAGTGAAACTGAAACAGGACATGGGCAGCAGCAACTTCCTAATAACAACTTAAAATAATAAAAGAATTGCGGTTTTCCATCCCGCCTGCCGAGCGTGACAACTATGTCAAAATCCCTCCTATAAGACAAGACAATCTATGGCCTATATTCAGCTGGACTATTATAGACTGTGATAGATAGATGGATATTCTGACACTACACTACACGGTACGTCCACTACGTAGTGGTCTTTTACTGGCTGATAAAGAACAAAAAGAAGAATGGCACGAAAATATACACCATTTCAATCAACATAATATTCTTAAACAGATTTAAGAGTAGCATAAATCTCTTACCAAGAAAATGTAAGTAAACAGAAAATTTAATAAAGTACGTTGTAGCCGCACATTAAATGATACGGCTTACGAATTTTTATGCATATTATTTCGGGTGCAAGTTTTAAGCTTTAGGCGGAATTAAGGCGATTCTTTATAACTTGCAACCAAACTCTTTAAAATATTTAAAAAAATATGTAAATGGTATATAAAATTATTTTACTTATCTTCACGCACAATCCCTGACGGGGTAGCCAGAGAGAACAGATCGCCAAGTGTCACGATCCTTACATATCTCTTTCGCTTCTTTCAGATTCATTATCTTCTTCATACATGCACGTCTAGGTATCCGAGTACTCTTGACCCTACCCTCTTCGAGCAATTTGCTCACATGGTCTTCGAATGTTAGTCTCGGTCTACCTCGACACCTTTTAATATTAACTTTCGCGCTATATATTTTCTTCACCATTCGGTCTTCACTCATTCGCTCAACGTGCCCAAACCACCGAAGCACGCCCTTATCAATTTTTGTGATAAGGTCATCTTTCAAACCTGCCATATTGCGAATCTCTTCGTTTCGCTTTCGGTCGGCCATAGTAACGCCGCACATTTTACGAAGAGATCGCATCTCCACTGCATTCAACTTACTTTTATGCTTCTTCTGGCATACCCAGGTTTCGCTGCCATATAACAAAGTCGGTACCAACACTGCGTTATGTATTGCAAGGCGTGCACTCTTCGCTACGCCTTGCCTTTTGACTAACGCAGTCAGGGCACCATTGACTTTGTTCCCGGCAGCGACACGCCTGTCCACATCTAAATCACATCTTCCATCCCGGCTAAAAGCATTCCCCAAGTATACAATTTCATTTACCTGTT